CATTTGTCAAAACACCACACGCCCTTTTACACTGGAAGTTTCATAATTTTTTAACAAGGAAAACTTCCCCGGTTAGGAGGTGGGTGTTTCGACCCGACCTGTTCACCCATGCATTATGCAAGTTGCACCTTAGCCGGTCTCGCGGCTCCCGCAGTCAGCCAGTTCCGAGCCGAAGTAGTGCAACCCAGTTTCGTGTCAGACACGTCCTCTGCGCAACTGCGAGCGCAGAGAGCGTTAATCCACTAACCCTCCGTCGCTCGTGAAAATTCATCGAAACGTTTGATCCATTTCTATGAAACCGCCGACGAGAATACTTGCCTGTTGTATGTACACGTACGTACACGGTATGTACACGTTAACTAAAGGCCGTGTTTACAATGTTTCAACGATTCCATCTACATTGGAGTGTCATCCGGGATCCTTGCAATTTACTTGATCTTTTTGCCGAGAGAGGGAGGACGCGTCGAGATTTCGGTTGCAACGGTACAGGGCGCGTCAAAGATGCATGCACCACTCAAGGGAACGAACGTAGAACGTGCGGCGAAGGAGGAAAAAGAAATTATTGTGCAAGCACGAGGTAGCGTGTAGGAAAGGGGGTCTACGTAACCGGAATCTCGTGAATTGCTCGGCAAATGTTGATCTTAGCACAAAATTAGCTGAGATGAAAGTCGCATTGCTCCGACGCATTATGATAAAATGTTTAAAATTTTTTCTTCTTAATGTCTCATAATTTTGAAGTAATTCAAATTCAGATAAATTATTCGTTTTTGTGTTTTTAAGATAGAATATTTAACAACATTGGAAAAATATAACGTTAAAAATCAATGCTACAAATATACTATCCCCTCGCTAGATGTAGCTTCCCATTACTCGCTCTACATGCGTAGCAACCCGAAAATGCGCCATCTGTTATTCGAGCGATAAAAAAAAATCGCCAACAGACCTTTATCGAAACGCATTAATAACATCGAATAGCATCTTGCAGATTTAACTCGTGTGATAAATTCACCGCTGTCAGAACCATTCTGAATTTGAATACACGCTTCTATGCTACCTATAGTGTATATCATTTTTTCTTTTCCTTTTTGAAATATTTGACACGTGAGTGCATGCAGAAGGCAAAGACCGTTCGAAGGACAGTGCTATCGGTTATTTTCGAAGGGAATTATCTTCGGGCGTGTTTATACGGGAGATAAACTTGAACCGCGGCTTTAAGTTCTTGAGAAAATAAATGGCCTCCGGTAAAAATAGCGGAGTGCAACGAATTCCAGGTGGCTGTCATACGGAAGCCCCGTGTGCGTATCTTATCTGTTCCCTTCGAAGAATACATCCGGCTACGCGCGAACAAACTGAACCTCTCGGCCCTCTCGTCATACATTTCTTTATCCCGTGATTGTTTTGCTTTTTAACAGGGACTTCGGTTTTCAACGGTGCCGTTATTGGAACTATGTTTGAACAGCTCTCACCGCGCTATCTAACTTTTATTGCGAAATTGCCCGTTTCGTCAGCACACCTGCCACCGAAAATGAGATTTTTTGAAACATGCTGGCGATCCATCAGTTTCCAAATCTGCTATCTATCTATATACGCGTCACGCTCTCCATATACAGGGTGTTTCAAAAACAATCTGATCTCACTTTTGAACGAACACAACTTTATTAAGAAATACTTAAGAAATTTGGTACCTTGCTAAACAAGAGATACTCGATTTTCCAAGTTGCATGCGCTGTAAAATCATCCAAAATCGCACTTTAAACTGTCGAGAAAATTCTTCCCCTTCGCCGAGTAACACAAAACGACTGCTCCACGCTTCCACGCGGTGCTCAGAAAGAAAAGCACAGGAAGGAAAGCGCGAAAAGGCGAGCCGACGACGCGCATCGCGAGTGTTTTGACTCGAGAAGGGTCCGTACGAAGCGAAGAACCCGTGTCCCCGTTTATTCCTGCAGCTGCAACTGCGAAATCAGCGCACGGTTCGCCGACTAGAGGCCACGGGCTCGTGTCAGGACACCGGCCGGGGTCGTGCTTACGACCCCTCTTCTTCGTCGGTGTCGTTGGCCGACCGACCGACCGCCCGCATGAAACATGAACGTAAAACGAGGTTAGACCGCGACGAGGGTGAATACAGGACCGTTTTTCCGCGACTTGTTTTTTTGCGCGAAATTCGATCGTTCTTATGTATCGATAATACCTAGGGTCTTTCCCCTAGCTTTGTTTACGCACGGTGATTGGTTCGTTGGGCGCGTCGTAAATAACTGGCGGAGATTTTTATTGGCAGATGGAACGAGATGTTTTTCGTCGAGAAAACTGCAATGTGGGGGAACTGTGTTTACTTTACGCGGCAATGGAATTAGACTGACGTGATTTACGAAGTTACACTTGCTAAATGTATCGCATCACCGCGAATGGAATATTATGTTACTGGTAGAAAGACTCGCCATAGAAACGTTGAAACATGATACTTTTTACGTACATATAGGCGGAATTCCACTGAAATGTAAAAATATGTATTTCTTTTTAAATACAGAGGAGGTTATTGTCATTCTCTCAATAGCGAAATATCTACGAAAACGAACTGCTTACATAACCTATTGCTGTTTCACGTAAAAGAGGTAAACCTTCAACAGTTTTAACTTAACCAAGAGAAACTTCTAGTAGTCTTACAACTGAGTTCGAGAGGAACGCAAAAGTTTAAAGTTTATACATCAGTATTTACAGCCAGGCCATGTACATATTCCCTGCGACTTTGATACTCGAAGCGTACAAAATGCACTCTTGGATATACCCACAGGTATTAAACTTTCAAAAAGTAAAAAGCACATAGAAAATTTATTCACAGATTGTACATGTAAAAGAGGAAAGAAAAATATTTCGTCGTTTTTATTCTCAAACAGCGGCAGAACGTGCACGTGGGAACGTGCCAGACGTCTTATTTGCATGGAAACCTAACGAATCATCGGTCACGTGACCGAGTCCCATTCATTCGAAGAAGGAACGAGGCGACTCGAGAAAAAGGGGGACGCCCCGTTTTCTGGAACGAACAAAACCGTACCCGGCGCAAAATAGAAAAGCTACGGAGAACAAAGTGAAACGATCCAAGGCACAGCCTACAGCAGGTCAGCCTGAATGATCGTTAATGACGACACACTAGCTGGTCCAGTTACCTGGATGATCGTCTTTGACGTACGCTAGGCGCGCGGTTGATTACTTCGAAACACTGGAATCGATCGTTCATGCAACACGACGAGGCAGAGAAAGAGAGGTAGAGTGTATGGAAGAGAAAGAGAGGATACAACATGCAAAGACGACGAGTGATACGGAATGTGCAACGGCGAGATAAAAATGTTCCGACTCTCTGGCATGGGACACACGACGAACGAGGGAATATCGAGATGCTCCAGTTCCTTTTGTTCTAGAGACACGCGTCTGATAAACCAAGAGCGTTCTTTGACCCGAGAACTCCAGTTTGCGTGTCGCTAAATACTGTTCTTTCTTTTCATTTCGTTGTAGCTTGTTTCGTCGTTCCGGAAATAATGAACTACTTTGATCTTTTTCGAGAATGTTTTTTTTTTGGCTCGTTCTTTTAAGACAATCAGTCCATTCTTGCGTTCTTTGGAATAATTTAAAAGTTTCGTTGGGTAAATAAGGATACGGTTTGGTACGTTTTTTTAAGGAAATTACTTAGGAAAAAATCCTTTGAGATATTCTACTGTATGATTTTTAATAATATTTCAATTTTCAGTGTTCTACTTGAACGGAGTGTTTTCTGATACTTTTAGAATGTTGTTTTAATATTTCTCTAGAATAGAAAATTCGTGAATCTAATTAATCAGGGATTACACGGGTGTTGAAGACAAAGTTACAGGGCAACAACGATAGACGTCAATGTTCCGCAACTACGTGTGACGTTAGACGTTCCTCATGGGTCGTAAGTGGCGGCTGAAATTACGCAGGTCCTGGTAGAGTACAGGCAGATCTATCGCGATGGTAGACGATTAATCAGAGCACGACACCGTTCACGAGGAGGACCAATATTCAATTACCACAAAATTATCTTTTGTAACTGCGTTTCCAAGTTTCCTGCTGGAGTTAGGGTAACGATCGGTAAGAGAGGATTAGCAGGCATAGTTCTCGTTGATCAGGACACAATAAGCTGTAGGTATTACTACTAGAAATGGAATTTCTTCTCTTCGATCGAGAGTCGTACAAGAAATAGTGACTATTTTCTATTACTTTCAATTATTAAAGTTGTCAAAGTTATGTTTTTATCAATTCATCTCATTTATAAGAAAGATTATGTAACGAAATGCTTCAAATATTTGTACACTTATTGTTCAGGTCTTACTTTTTGAAACACCCTGTACATGGCGCCTCGTTCAACTAACCAACAGCAGTAATTGAACGAAGAACAATAGAGCGAGACAAAAGACAGAAAGCACACAATCTACGAGCTACTCCAACCTTCTGTCGGACTTTGAATAATTAATTAAAAAAGTGCAGACAATTATTAACCTATTGCCAATCAATTTTAAATGTACTTCTACTAAAAGGATAACCAGTAATTCATTATTTCAGAGTGTACACTGGGAATCCTGTTCACACGTGCAATTTCGAAGGGAAATCGGTAATAGTTTGCCGTGGATCGAGACGGTGGCAGTGGCTGTCGAGAGGAAAGGACGAAGCTCCGAAGGCTCCAGGGCAACCACGACGAGTCTCCGAATCCGATGTGCGCTCCAGCCCGATCAATAACACGGGGCGTGCACCACAGCGAGCCACCCTTTTCCTTCTTGCTAGCCAGGGGTCCTCGTTTGGTACCCCGGCTGTGACCTTCGAAATCACCGATCTATTTTACCATAATCCTTTCATTCTCTCCTTCGTCATTTTATTTTTTATTTAACAATATTCCGATAATATGTATATATCGAATGAAACTGACTTGGAATTTTCTTCACAGGATGCGTCAACGCCCTACCAGCTTTCTAGTAACACGTCTGGAACATTGTTCTGAAGAAAGAATGTGTTTTGAAAGGAAGATAGGAAAAAATTTTTTTTTTTTTTTTTATACTGCTAGAGAATACGGATGGAAAGTTTAATGGTGGATGATGCAAAATTAATTGGCGGACCTCGGTTTTATTATGGATATTACAAAGAAAGAACACGGTGAAAGGTCAGAGCTGTTTAAAACGCGGCTCACACAGCGCGAGTTCATAAAGTCAAAGGAAACGCGATCAGCGACAGAGGCACGGGTGCATACACATCAAAGAGGGTTTCCTTCGAACTTATTACCAAGACACCCTTTCGAAATCAGTTGTGGCTGAAACATCGAGTAAAAATGTTGGTGAATCTTTGTGGGAGATTATTCGAATTACACCCAGAGAAATGATAATTCGTTCGGAAAATATAACTGAATGCTTAGAAATATTTGCAAACTATTTTCCGCTCTGAAAGTTATCTAAATTGGTCCAAATAAGAAATCTAAGATATTTTAAATATCAAAAAAACTGAACCGTACTTTTGAAAAATAAAAGTATACGAATATTAATTCGATTTCTTTTCCTTTTCTAAAAAGTATCAAAGTAATTCAGTATCTAAGATATTCAGGACACTTTTGAAAAATAGAAACACCCTATGCGATTTCAAAAGATTCAATTAACACGGCAAAAAAAATCTGTAAAACGCTTAAAAGAATTGCAATTATGAAACTCGTCGATACGAAACGGTAAAAAGAGATTTAAAAAGGAACACGACTGCGGCCAGATGGAAAGGGTTAACCCGCTGACTCGGAACGAATTCTATTGTGACGCGTTCCTCTTTTTTTCTTTAATTTGATTTAATCGCTCGACCCTTTCTTCTTTTCTCTCTTTCTCTCTTTCTCTCTCTCTCTCTCCTTTCTTGCTTTCACGATGCCACACGACTCTCGAAGGGTCGAACCGCGACTCGAGGACCGTTTCACTGTCGGCGACCCGTATTTACGTACACACGAAGTGGCTGCCACTCGATCCCGAAATAAGTCCTCGCGCAGGCTGCACCCTAATTCAGCTGGCGCGCGCGATACGCGCGTTAACGCCGCCGATGGTTTTAAGCACGATACTCTCGGGCTCGAAATAGAGATTAAAGCGACGCACCAACGGAAAGAAGAAAAGAAGTGCTGCGTTGCACGATTATCCGAGGATGGATGAGTTAGGCTATACGTATAGAAAGGACGCGTGTTCGAAAACGATTCCACGGCGTATCGGAAGTTGAGTGTTTTCGAAGATGACACGAGACGATATGGACGCAACTTTTCTCCAGACTATTGGGAATGTTTTTCGAGTGAAAAGTGGTTTCAAAGGGAGAGATAGGATAGATGTGAAAAGTGTGGATGTTATGGTTTCACGAAGTTTGTCTTTTTTATGGAATTTTATGTTACACTTTATAAGAAAATTGGATATCAAACTTTTTATCATTGATATATAATAAAAAATAAGGAGAATTTGTTTTTTTTTTTCAATGAAATTATTAAAGCTACGCAAAATGAGATAGTAATTTAATAAAAAGGGATATTAAAACAACGTTTCACTAATTCTTTATGTATTAAAAGAGGGACCAATGTTTAAAAAAGAACAAAGATTAAATATGAAATTGAGTATCACGTTTTGGTATAATAATTCTTTCAGTATTTACTATACAGCTATTTTAAATCCCGATAATTAAATTGATATGATAAAAAACGAAGGTAGAACTTTCTTTTTTAATAAAATTATGAAAGCTATAATAAAAGGAAAGAGTACTTTAACGAAAATCGATATTAGCAAAGTGTTTTACTAATTTTCGAAGAATTAAAAGATGTAGCAACTCTTTTTTTAACAGGCAAAAAAAAAAAGAATAAAAAAATGGACATTGCCTTTTCCTGTAATAATTCTTCGAGTGTTTGCCGTGTCGCTATTTTGAGTGATAATAATTCATCGATGCTGTAAACGATAAGGGGAGAGGTCAGTCTCTTCACAGCTGAAAAAACAAATCGATTATGTGTCGATTCTTCGTAAACGGGAGTACCGTGACCTAGAAAACAGCTCGCGTTGATCAGTCGTTTCGCGATATTTCTGTAAAAGCACGTCGCGGTTTCCGTTTCCTGTTTTCAGGCCTAGCAATTTCTACACGATAAAGGCGTCCTGTCGTTTTTGCGTTTCGCGTCGCAAGAATAAGCAGAATGAAAACACGTTTTACTCCAACGTATCTCCAATTTCTTCGAATTTTTCAGAAAACAAACGAACTCGAATGAACAATACAATTCCACGATGCAACGATAGACACTCGATATATTTATTAAAGAATTAATTGGTAAAAAGTTACTATTTGAAATTTCGTTTGTAAAGACTGTTTGAATAATTCTTATAGGTTGTTCGATGATAAAAAAGAAAAAGAATGAAAAATTCTACGACGACGAATAATTTTCCAAAGTTCCCTCGAAAGTTTCATCCACGGTTAGGAATTTAATAACGAAACTTCGATAGTATCCGTGACCAAGTTCTTAATTGCATACGAAAAGGAGGCGCCAATTATCACTTGAAGAAGAGAGTGGGGAGAGGAGGCACGTGCAGCCTTCTCTGTTACTTGAGGCAGCCGCCGGTGTTTAATATTTACTATTCTTCCACGCCACTTCCGGCTCACATTTATGCCGGATGTGCGTAAGTAATTGCGCATTTGAACAACCACAGCACGACGATTGTTGCTTTAATTTAGCTACAAATGAAGCGCCTGATCGCATTTTAATCGATATCACGCGACATTCAAGTAAGATCCTCGCCGTGAAACGTTTATTTTTAAACTGTTCTTTAAAGTGAAAGTTCTCAGGACTTTCTTACAGAGTAGATTTTTCCCTGTCGCCTGAAACTTAATCGCAACTAAACGTTAGAATGTTAAGTTTTTCTGAAAATTTTATCTTTCTACCAAAATTAATATTTTACGAAAAGAGAAAATAAAAAAACAAATTTCTCAGTCGATTAGTATTTTTGCAAAAAAGCAAAATTTCCTCAGACCTGAAACTTGAAGTTTACGGTACCAAAGACCATCGTGCATTTTCATACACAGCAAATTCATTTTCTCAATTTATCATCGTCCATTATCAATATCCGCAAAACGAGCGAATTTTCGATTCAAACTTCCCGCTCTTTCTCGACTAGTTAATTCTTTCACTTCGACGCAATAAAAAGGAAAGAAAAAAAAAAAAGAAATCCAGCATTCATCCAGACAGAACGAATTAAAGGTAATCTTATTGAAGGAGATTCGAATTTACTCACGTTAGTGTAGAAGTCCACTTCTTTGTACGGGTTCACAGCCACCAGTATGGATCCGGTGTACGTCTGCATCGTGTCGAAACGAAATATATACTGAATCAAGGAAATTATCGGTGTACAGACTCGTTTAAATCGCTGATGCATTCAGAGAAGTCGTTCGTCTATTAATCGCCCTCTGCTAGGCACAGAGATGCAAGTGAAAGGAAAGGGAGAGACGGAGGAACAGAGATGGAGAGAAAACGAGAAACAGAAAGAGAGGAAACAGGGCGGAAGGAAGGTGTGTTTACCCGCGACTGAAAAGAACCGTGTCGACGGCATTATTTCTCATTTCCAACCTCGTGAACCGCCTTGAATGATAATGCGACATGCATTCCCGATGGGGACTTCTCCGCGTGTGACGTCACACGCTCTCTAACCTCGCGAACGCGTGTCGCAATTTTTCTTTCATTTTCTCTCGCTCGTTCGCGAGCAGAGTACGCGTTATTAAACCTTTGAAACCTGGAGCAATTTTTTCTTGATTTCTCTGATCTTCGTCTGAGAGACAACATCTCGAAAACTGAAGGAAATAGGTATCTTAAGGTAATGTTTCATTTACCAACCAGTGGTAATTCAGACACTGTTTTAAAAATTATAACAGTCGAATTTTTTAAATGTTTCGATATTTGTCGAGAAGATTTAATACTTTGCAGACGAGGGCTGTGTTCAATGTGAAGGCACTGATTATTTGTACAAGACGTAACTAGGTTACCTACTTCAATTTTTCCTTGAACTGAATCATATGAAAATTATATTTTCCTCCATGACCGCAGCAATTATTTTTATTGCTTAAAACTATTAAAGTTTACTGGTTATATTCGTAGTTTTTTGTTACGAGTATATGAGATCGTCAAATTTTAACCCTCGAAGGGTTAAAAGTTAGAACTGAAGTACTAATACAATTTTTGAAGAGTTCTTCCTTTATTGTTTTTTTTATACGAGGTTTAAGTGCTCGCAGGAGTGAATAGAATTTTCTCAATTAACAGCAGCTTCTCTCGATCCCTTTATAATCCCTGCAGTAAGGTAAATCCCAAGTATCGCCTCGCTGTTTAAATTACAATATCCTACCGGAGTAAGTTTAAAGCATTATCCCCTGCATCGTTCTACTTGAAAACTTGCAAACAGTATCAGCAGGAGGTATGAAAAAAATCTCAAATTATAATACCGACAATTATCCATCGTGAAGTGTAATCCACAAGCTTTCCCGGAATCTCTTTTTTCTCTACCCAGTTAAATCTTCTGCCTTAAGTAGGACGAAGAAAACACGTGATACTTTCTTAGTTACCTTATAAATTGCTTTATTTTCACCTGGTATATCTCATGAATGGAAACGTAAAATCAGAGTCAACAATATTTCGCGGTAAAAAAGATCCCCTGAAAGAAGGTAAATGCAGAAATCGTATAAGCAGATTCAATCAGAACTTCCATTTCCACCCCAGCAATTAGGCGACACGCCTTTCGTCGCGACGCACAGTGGTGCAAGTTCTCGAACAGCTGGACAAAATTCGTAATTTCATTCGGTCGATGAAATTCAAACTATCGAAATTTCAATTCAACCAATCAAATTCAAGTTATTCCAGTTTGAAATTAAACCAATGAAATTCGAAATATTAAAAATTTGACCAATACGATTAAAGTAAGCACCAGTTGAATTCAGCCAATCAAACATTCAAACTATTCAACTCAGCCAATGCGATTAAAGCAAGCACCATTTGAATTCAGCCAATCAAAAATTCAAACTATTCAACTTAGCCAATGCGATTAAAGCAAGCGCTAGTTGAATTCAGCCAATCAAATTAAAATTATTCAAAATTTGAGTTCAGCCAATGAAATTAAAACTATTCAAAATTTAAATTCATTTAAAAAGAGCATGAAATTTCGTCCACTTTGATGGCCAATATCTCAGTAACCAATCGAAATATTTCGAAAATTCAAGCGGCATTTAACGCGCTGTGATATACATATATGTACATCTACAATAAATCTGCTACAGTAGGAAAAAGCTGCTACACTCTTCGAAAATAATTTTCCGCCAGGTTTCCAAGATACAGCACCGCTGTGCGACGCCAGCAACATCGTAATTCACTCTCTCGATCACGGGTATTCCCAGTTCAATCGAGGATCCACGACGAAAGTACAAGACAGAAGAACCGAGCACGACAATAACTAAACGGTGCATTCAGTGGCGGCTAAAGAGGCGGAGGAAGCGGAAGTTGAGTGTTCGTGGTGGCTACAGGGACGCGAAAGCGTTTTTTAACGATCCCTCAACGATTTACCGACCAGTCTACCAGCTGCCTCTCTATTTTACCTTCTTCTCTTCGACTCTATTCGTTATCGAGATGTCTGTTCATTCATTCTCCACCCTCTAATTGCTTCTCGTGTATCTGTCGAGGGAATTTCGTATATTCTGCTTGAAATTTCGTTAAATATTGACTTAGACATGGTTGTAATATGTTTGCACATGTTACATATCTTTGCATATGATTTTTGTAAAAAAAAAATAAATAAATCCTGCGATCTTTCTTTATCACT